AATCCCCATATGGAGCATCAACACTGGTACTCTGTGGCAGGATGACATCATCTCGTACGTATACGACAGCCAGCCGTGCCGTGCGAAACCGGTACATTTTGTCGTGATTGCTCCAACTTGGAGGTTTGTCACAATAGTATTTGGTGGAAATCTGTACTTAATTGTGACTACATAAATTTCTATATCCCTACAATGATGTGGTGACTGAAAAAAATAGAGCCACCGATACATTTTAGAATGAGTTTTCTTTTTTTTACACTCACCGAACTCTCCCTTAGCTTTCTAAGCACCGCTCGTTCATCACTTGTCAATGTACGTCCGATCTCGATCCGCGGATATCCGACCTTCGATATCGACGTCATGCATACAGCGCGCGCGCCTTGAACCTTATTTACATAATTAATGACAACAAAGTTAAGTGAGGGCGTGCTAGTATTCGGCCTGTTGGCGTTGGCCAGAACTAGAGCATTCGGCTAGGCTGTACATCTCTTCTAACTACATGTATAAATGTACATGTAGCCGAAGTTCCAAAGGGTTGTCAATACGGGGAAAAAGGAAACATAAAAAAGGCAGATCTCCACGGTAGATTGGTCAAAATATGGAAAGAGACAAACATAGCTATAGGGTGTTGAAATCGTAGTCACTTCATTTTTACTGCAGAAATAAAGGACTAATACAGGCTGCAGAGTACAGATTGCAGTAGGCCTACTTCCCTAGGCCTCGGTGATAATTACGCGCACTTCCCAAAAATATTTAAAATAATCACAACTATCCAAGGTATTTGAGACACCCATCAAATTAAAGCTTATTTCGTCATCTTTCATTTTCTGTTAATTTTTTTTTGAGGGGGGGGGGGGTTAATCCGATGACTTTTGGGAGAAAATTCCATCCACATCTGATCACCCCTTGTGTTTCGCCATTTTAAAAAATGATGCCTGCGCTCCATTGCAAAAAAAAGAAGAAACAATTTTGGGGGCAAAATTTCATCCGAATTTCGCAGAAATAGGAGCTCGCAATACGGTGCACAACTTCCACGCATCTTTTTTTTGCAAACCCTCAAGTTCATGGCCCACAAAATGCTCTAATAGCAAAAAAATGGCTGCATCCATATTACTTTGATTCGGGAAAAATTGATGGCCGAAAAGCAGATCTTACTCAGGCGGGAGAAAAGTGGTCATCTGCTTTCAAATTTCAGAAAAGCAAAAAAAAGGTGATCGTACGTTTTGACAGGACTGTTTTCTACATTAAATTTCTGCTTTTCAGCTTAATAGAAAAGTAAACTTGTTTTGCTCTGATAACATTCGAAGACAGAATCCGATGACGGAGAGATTATGCTTTTCTCATTTCAGAGAACTACAAAAGCAGATCAAACTTTTGGTAACGACCACTGGTTTGGTGGTAAGTCTAAAAAAAATCACCGTGGTTTACTGTATAGGGCCTAAAAGCAAAATGAAAGGGTCCTTCCAATGTTTCTCAGGAAATTTATTACAATACACCCATGAAATCTAAAAGGCGCCTATCGGCCAAGTCTGACAAGAACATAAAAATCTGCATAATTATACATTGTAAAGAAGTCTTCCTGATTGCTTGCTTTATACATTATGGACCTTTTTACTTATAAATTCATAATACACGTATGCGCATAAATGGGCCTGGCGGCAAGAAGACTAGTGAAAGCGGTACATTGAAATGTATATATACAGAGGTCAAAGTACTCGGGCCATTTTCTCTCAATTTCTACAGGATTTGTCGCTATTTTGTGTTGAGAAAAGCCCCTAAAATTGTCTTAGGCCAAAAAAGTCTCCGGTTTCTGGTACGGAGCTTGCCCCAAAAGTGGTGTGGCGACGCGGGGTTTTTTTTCCCCAACTTTTTTTTTCGTCAAATGTCGGTTGATCGTGCTTATGATGACGCTTCGATCCCCTTAAAACTCTCAAAAAAATATCCTTCAGAGTGGAGCTTGAGGTGACCTCAGTAAGGCCATAAGGCTTGAGAATTCTGCACCCACTCACGATCTCGACCGTCAAGAACATTCTTCGGGAAATTTGGATAGTCAAGACAAAAATCAGAGAAAACTGTGACGTCAGGGCACACAGCGACATTAACATCGTGCCCCAGATAGTTGTGTAAATAAAATATTCGCCAGCTGCCAGGCTGGTCATTAGTCTGCTCCCTTACATATTGCGCTAATGAAAAAGCGTTTACAGGTTCTAGATACACGACCATCGCTCCCTCAGTCTAGCTTCCAGGCGCACAATTACAACATTGTAACACCGTCTGCAATTGGTGCCCAACTAAATTTAGTGCAAAATATATGGGAGCCCAGAGAGGCCACATAAAGCGTATACTCGGTCGTAACCCCATCTAAAAACACGTTGAAATTGTGCAGCAGTAGGATTCCAATCATACCAGAGAGTTTGGCGGTTTTGAGACATCATCTTACATTGACAACAAAAAACTTTTATAATTTTGCCGACGCGCGCGCAGACCAGAAACCGGAGCACTGCCGCTGGAACAAACTTTTGCCAGGGGATGCTGGAACTAAAGGACGGGCAAAATTAATGCCAAAGCGGAGCGCAAAGCCCTTACGACGTGGCTTAATTTGGAATATGGATGCTCTGTGGTGCAATCTGAGGCGCTTCCTGGCCACTTTCATTTCCGCAGCTAAGCGCGGCGCTTCGAACGTCTTGCACAAACACTGTAACATATCAAGAGGAGGTATTTTCTAAATCTTCAGGCAGTGCAGAATCGATATTTCTCTCAAGGTATCTAAAATCATGTCATGTCTATGATATTTCCGCCATGATGGAAGCTTTAAACCCGAAAGCAATAACCTCGGCCATGACAAATGAAAAGAAAAACCTTCAGGGGAAAGGTATGAACATTTGCCCCTATTGAAAGATCGAATGAAAAAAATCCTGGCAAGCATAATCAACTTTGCCACCATTGTCATGGCTGAGGTTATTGCTTTCCGGTCAAAGCTTCCATCATGGTGGTTCATAGTGCACGGGTGCTTTTTCAACTAGGGAACCAACGAAGAAGCCCCCTAGCCCCTCAAGTTAACGGCGCGTGTGTATGCCACGTGACTATTACTTTACCACACATTATCTTGCTTCAATTCAAAAACATTTCATAAACAATGTCACGAATTGTACAAACAATTTTTGTTATGTATTTAATGTATTTTGTTTGCTTTTCATTTGGACAATTTGATACTTATAGTTTTATGGGTGAGTTAGGGGGTTCGTTTTTGGTACATTTTTTTTTGGGGGGGGACCGACAGACCGACCGACACCCGAGTGACTTGTAGAAACTCTGTTGCCAGAGCTTAAAACAAGTGCGACTACACAATAAGCGCTAGCTCTGGCTGTCTTGAAAACTACAATGCAAAATAATACTATTGACCTTCATAATGCTCTCCTCATCCGTATACGCCCTGAAGACTCATTAAACTGACACAGGGCCAGATGCAGGTGTAGTGGAAACCCATAAGTTCCTAGAGCATTACATACCACGTGACTAACATTACCACACATTATCTTGCCTCAATGTACAAAAGATCCATAAACAACACCACGAATTGTTACAAACAATATTATTTCTGTCAAGTATTTAATTAATGTATTTGGATCGCTTTTTTTGTTTGACAGTTACAATTTAGTACTTACAGTTTTATGGGGGAGTTGGGGGTTCGTTTTTGGTCAATTTTTTTTGGGACTGACCGACCGACCGACACCCAAGTGACTTGTAGAAGCTCTGTTGCAAATTTCGGGCCGAATTGCGGTGCTGATGAATCGCGCCGGGCTTCAACGTGGCTGAATCAACACGTGAAGTTTCTCTCGTATCTCACTGTGCTTTTTAACATATCCGTTATTTTTTTTTTTTAAATCTCAGTTTGTTTTCAATTTACAGATTGTCTTGTTTCAATTTTTCGGGCGGTGACCGATGCACATCACACAGACAAACCGCGATGCGCATGCATCCGGAAAAAAAACTTGACCGTGAAATCGGAGGCAACGAGGGGTCGAAATCATCATCGTTTGCAACAAAACATTTGCAAAATAATGGCCACTTTCGGCCGCCTTAGTTAAATACTTAGCAAAACACTGATTCGTTCGGTGTTTGTGAAAAGTTTGTGAAAGGAGCATCTTTCGGCCACTTCAGTTTCGGCTGCCTGATGAATATAAAATCTACTTTTCGGGTAGCTGCAATAAAGCAGAAAACTTGGAAACGTAAACGCTTGATTGCTGCACAAGCGAGAGGAAAGACCCCGTCTAATCTGCGTGAGCCGCCGCCACCGGAGGCCAGCCGAAAGATGCTTTTCAGGTAGCGGAAACGCCAGAAAAGTAGAATTTTATTGAAAGGTAAATTAAATTCTCCTTTTCTGGAAACATCTGGTAGCCGAAACTAAAGCGGAAAAGCAGAAAAAATCAGAACTTTTGAAACACCGTCTGCTTTTCTGTAAATTATTCTAACCGAACAAAAGCATGTCCACTTGGAAAATAGCGCAAACAAATATCTATTGTTCGGGGTGAATCTCGAAATATAGCACGGGGTGAAAGCTTAATATATCAGAGTTTGATATACACATATTTTGTCACAAAGAATTTAAATTTTACATAATTATTAGGGCCGATAAATACAACATTTTCAATACATGCTGAAAATGTGACCAAAATATCCTATTGACAAATTTCAAATTGGCACCAAAACCGGCTAGGGCCTCATGCTGTCTGTTGTTGAGAGGATTTAAAAAGAAAAGGTCCTCATTGTCACAAGTTGCTTAACATCGAGTGCCTCCGCTTCAATTTCAATTTGAAATTCGTCTTTCAATTCTTTCAATTCATGCATCCATCCAGCCTTTCCGAATGGAGGAACTTGTGTACGTGTACGATCGAAAATGTGGGGGTATACCAAAAGTAAAGTAAGATTGATCGAACACGAACGTGTACGTGCGTAAGTACGTGTACGTACCGCGTACCGGATTGTCACTGGTACTCGGACCGAGTCTGTATGTGATATGTTGGCTCGGAGATCAACGGTGGAATCTTTTTCGCGTGCAATGTGTTACCCGCGAAAAGATTTTTCCCCCTGCATGCAGACATCACATGCAAAATGGCGTCGAGTTTGATGACTTGAAAGCAACGTGCCGGTAATAACATTGATTTTCATTAAACGTTGAACATCATTTCATTAAAGTAAAGTAAAGCATTCGGTGTTTTTGCATAATTTTCAGCTTTATTGTGACTTCATGATTGAAAGGTTAGGAAAGAATGTTGCAACCTGACGCCACTTAGGCTTTTTCAGCGGTTGGTTGTCATGGTTGTGTACAATTGGATTGGCCCAATTAATGTGTGTACAAAGTACTCCTAGAACTATGACTCGCTCCACGTAGTGGAGCTCGTGGAGCCTCATACTACTCATAGTTCTAGGAGTACATGTGTGTACAAAGTCTATGGACTAGCCCCATAAACAGGATAAATGTGACCAATTTACTGGACTAGCCCCATAAATGTGGCCAATTTACTGGACTACTCTGTAAATAAAGGCCACACTTCCACCATGTACAAAAACATGTCGGTAGCGTCAGTATCACACTGGGAGGAAGGTACACTTATCATAATTTATGCCTACGTCACCAAGTTGATGAGCAGGTCGTATGACGTTCCTAGAACATGAATTATGCAGATCCGTGCCAACGGCCTAGGCATGCGCCAGATGAAAGCGCTGGCTCGTATGCAAACGATAGCCTAGCAAAGCTGACCGTCAATATAGCGGCGGTTTATTCCCCCATGGTCGAACTAGCCCGTTTGGCGAGTCAAACATTATTAGTACAGCTACGGGCATAGATGAAAAGAAAAGAAAGGAAGAAATAAATCATTGCATTCAGAAAGCAAATCTGTTGCTGTATCAATTTATGGTTAAATAGATCTGTTTATTAAAACACTGACGAGATTGCCTCAGGATACTCAAAAAAGGACAATGCGGCGGACAAGCACAGTAACCGGCCCTGATCAAATTACATTACATTTGAACGGCATAAAAACAAAAACGACATCGACAATGCATTTTTTTCTTTCTAGTTTACTCATATTTGTAGATAGAGGATCTATTCCCGTTCCTTTTTTACGAAACTTTCAGTTTTGATATCCATGTCCATGCAAACTTACAAGGAATTGTACGTGCCCGTAAAGTAGTTTAAACACCTTGACAGCAATGTCAGTGATGTTCATCAACTTTTTCGTTCGCAACAAAAGTGCTAAAAATCTTAACTTGGCCGGCCGGTGCTTAGTAATTGAACAACTAACCTGATTGCAACTTCGTCAAACATCACCACTGAGAAATAACTTGAACCTCAGTTTAAAAGTAAAAAATATTCAACAAAGTTCTTTTGAAGGCCCATCTTTAAAAAAAAAAAAGAGTGGATTTTATAAATCATATATTGTTTGCGAATTGCTAATGACTAGAGCTTGTTGTTGACAGTTGTTGAAACAAGTATTCTGTGTCAATTTCTTCGTTGTTCCAAGCAGTCAGAATGATGCACAATAAATTGCTTTTTTTTTGACGAAACAGGTTTCTAGGGTCTTTGCGTTTTAATGGTGATATCATTTGAACGGATTGAGCAATGTCAGTAATTTCTTTTTTTATCTAAAAGTAGTTTCTGAAATAGGTTTTCCAGTCATTATACTACTTATTTTGGAGCTACATATTTTTTTTAAATACAAGTGCATGTACCGTACCCCCCGCAGCGCGCTCCGAGCGAACCGAAAATCATCGCTCGATCATATGCGTGCACGTTTCAAGTGTCAGGTTGGCTCAGTGCGGAAAGGGCATATTTTTCATCATTTTGGCCTAAAAACCGACAGAGGTCTATGTTAGTTCTGCGCATGATACGTGAGTATGTCAAGAGATAAAGTACGGAGTATAGGGGCAAACTGTGCAGCGGTTCTGTGTGAAATGTCTCCATTTTGATGGACGTTTTTGTACTTTATTAGTGTTTTGTGCTGCAGGCAATTTTGCGGGTTTCTTGATCTATGAGGCTCCGCTCACGGGGTCACGCGGAGCCTCATAGATGTGAAAATCAAAATTTGACAAAGTTCAACATGTTTTTGTACATGGTGGAAGTGTGGCCTTTATTTACGGAGGTAGTCCAGTAAATTGGTCACATTTATGGGGCTTTCTATGGACATGATCTAGTCCAAGTAACTAGGACTCTACGGATCATTTTTTAACATTTGGACATGGTCGGGCGATAGTAGAGACGAGTCCGAGATTGATGGCCCTATTGTGGTTACTAATAATTTTTTTTTTACCATTTTCACTCGTACCCCCAATCAAAATCGTCAGATTTCACCCTCAAAACGGTCTTCAAACCGCCTTATGCGCCCCTGTAGGCTTCAGTGGGAAGTGAAAATACAAATGGTGGTGGTTAGGTTTACATACATGTACCTTTAGAAGAAAAGAGAAATTCCCCCTTCAATTCGGGAAACATCCTTGTCACAAAATCTACTTTAAAATTATTGGACCTACCAAACTAGTTGGCGACACTCTCAATAAACAGGTATGTCATAGATTAGAGGGCAGGGTTTTGATTTTTTGAGGGAAACTTGGGGGTAAAAAATGACGATGACAGCGCGGTGACAACACGCGACCCGAAAATAAAGATGGCGATCACCATGTGATGTACGGTGAGCACGCATGGCGCGCTGAATCACAAGGCACAAACCGCACAGGAAAATTGTGATTTCTATCCCAAGAATCTGTTCAAAATTGCAAAACGGGTGTCACTGGAATTGAGAAAAGTCTGCTTTTGATTGTACAGGTGATTTTTGAACAATGAAAAACATTTTTGACTCTTTAAGTTGATCAAAACAAAACAGGGGCCGTACACTTCACGATCGCCGATAAAATCGATTAACGTGCCTGTAGTTGGGTCCTATGTGCACGCGTGATCCGGAACTAGGCAAAAACATACGGTCATTCGTAGGCAAAGTTTCAAATGTTAGAGACTCTACAACTTATTTTGATTCAACAAACATTCGATGCAAGAGTTTATACAACTGTAGAGTACGAACAAAATATTTGAAATCACACAGTCCGATCGATGTACCGAGGAGAAATTTATCGTTGATTCGCGGCTCCCGTGATTTTGTACAAACCGTCCAAACATGTCAAAGTGCGACTCGGAAATCTGGCCAAAATTCCTTTTCTAGAGATTTTATCGAAAAGATCTTTGTGTATCAAGAAGCTTACATTTTCCTTTTCAAAATGCACTTCGTCAGAAAAAATAGTATTGGAGACTAATTCAAAAGAGGTAGGTTTTTATTTGAAGCGATCCGGAACTAGGAAAAATCCGGAACTAGGAAAACGACTGTAGTATTGCTGTGCTGTACCTTGGCTTATGCCACATAGCCATGCCACCCAACGTACTGACTACTGAGGAGAGTGTCATTTACTGGCGCACAAAACTGCACTTAAGGTTGAATTCTATGATGTCTCGGCTTTTGCCCTTTTGCATTGATATAAGATAACTGGCGCAATTGCAGAATATCCCGCCAGTCGTCTATCCACCTCGTATCCGGATACCCAGATATCATATGATGTCACGATTGACTGATTGATTTCCCACAATAAACACCCTCACAATACGTAAGGCCAATGCATGCATCAGCTTCGCCCGGCTACACACAATATGCGTGCACTTCCCACTCCGTATCCCCGTATTCGATTTTCCACTTCCCGGGAAATACATTGGACTTAGACTTTCTTCTGATCCCCCCTCATTCATTTTACGTTGTATGTACTGATTCATCCCCTTGGAAGATGTTTTTAAAAAGAAAAAATAGTGCCCTCTGTCGCCCCTCCCCAACTCAGTCCCACTCCGTATCCACAGATCCACGTATCCACTTCCTGGGACTAATACTTACATGTACATTCGATCATTTGCGAGGAAAAAAAATTGCATCAAAGGATCAAAACAGCCAATCATAACGCGCCTCAGTTATTTATGCTAAGTATGACATCCAACAGCTGTCGGGTCAATGGACTCTACTGTGTTGCAGAATGTACTACTGACCCGAGGGCTGTTACATGTCCTACCCAGCATTAGTCCAAGTAACTTTGACCCTACTTATCGCCTTTTTCAACATTCGGACGTGATCTGGTGACAGTAGAGTCAAAGGGAACACAAGACTTAGAAGGAGGTTTACACGCTTTTTGCCAATATTTTAAATTTTCGTTCAAATTACAAGCAAAAACTCATCTATGACACAATATTTATCCTTTATGCAGCAGAGGATCCTCTCAAATGACAAAACGATCAAGCTGAACCCGAAGAAAGGGTATTTTTGGTGCAACTCCCGGTGTGCATAACAGTTCATCGCGTCAGCTGTGTGGTGGTTGTGTGTGCTTGTAATTGTGCCAGTCAGGGTGACCATATGAAAGTCGAGACTAATTTTACAACAAATCATAAGCACTACTGTCATGTCTGATATTTATAAACACAATTGTATATCATTGTTTGTTAACACTCCACTATAAATACAGTTCATTTTCTACTTTGTTCTCGCCCCAGATCAGTGAGGAGTCGGATGCTATTATTGCAGCTACAACACTGAGGCACAAAGTCAGGAACACACCACCATCATGATCATATCAAGAATAAACCGTAGACTCATTGCCAACAGGCTTTTGGAGGTAGGCTGTTGTTGCCTTAATCAATAATAATATGGGGATGGGAACCAGTCTACTTGCAGGGTGAATCCGTTTTTGCACAAGTGCAACCCAAAATAAAAGCCTATTTCTCAGAGGGCTGCAGATGCTAAAATATAAAAACAGCAGGGTTTTGTTTAGTTAAACACTCGTGGGGAAAATTTCATCAGGAGAAAAAACGGAGGCAAAAACAGAATTTGTCAAAGACCATGGATAGTATCTTTAAATGGTTCAGTCGTGAAACTGCTGAACCTCCTGAAGCCAGTGAAACCTTTGTTAAACAAAAAGTGCATCTAATTTAGCTGGATTTTACGGAAGTGATGAAATACTAGGTATTAGTCAAAACTATGCATTGTTTGTTTTCTTTTAACAGATAAGCGGTGGGCGACCCAACAGCACTGCCATACCTAAGACAGCTCTCTTCCTCTTCTTCATCGGGATTGGCCTGTCTGTTTTCAGCTCCCATCGGCTCCTGACAACACAATCCTGTCGCTCTCTCCTACCTAAACAGGAATGATGTGATTGCCAGCAGCTAACCTGATAGATTTGCCATAAATATCCACTTCTGTCAAGTATGTGGGAAGGAAGAGGGGTCCATTTTAATTCAGTCAAGTTTGATTTTCAAACTTCAATTCAACTCAAACCACACTATGGGATTTCAGTATCTATTTTGCTGGATTTGGGGCAACCAGCTTCTGTAAACATGTACATAGCTTTGTAAATGAACTCTAACCTTTGACCTGGCATGATGGAAATCAGTGCAGTAATCATCCAATGGATGTGTACATATGTGTCGTATGGACTATGAATTGTTGTTGCTGATAAATACAATAAAGTGTGTAGCATGTTATACGGTGGGCTTTAATGTCATTTCCAGAAAGAATTGTGTGCATGTTTTCAGCTGATTTGATTTCCCAACAGCTATATGCATGCAATTTACATGCAATGTACATATGAGGAGGTGCTTGTCTGTGAACTGATTTTCACAGTTACAGTGAAACTTTATGTACAGTGTACAAACCACATTATGCATTATACTGTAATGAAAATGGTTTGGATAGGATGAAGATATGGCTTCTTTTTTTTTAAATGGTTCAAGTCATATTGCACAGAATATTTGCCATCAGGAGAGGTGGCATTTGTGAAGGAAAAAGTCATGTAATTGTAACAATGTTGAATTATTCACAGATTTTACAAAAGAGACTTTAAAGGATCGTTCCTCATGTGTTTGCTTTGTAGGAATGTCGACAAATTTCTGTAAGATAATGATGTGTCTGTATTGTGAAAAACATTATTGAAGCAAAGAGCAATTTCAATGCATTGTGTATATTTTTCAAAATGGTGTTTATTTCGTGTATAGTGTTTGCGGAGGTGGTGAAACTTTGGTTGGCGGCTTAACAAAGGAACTTGTATGTTAATTTGAAAATTGTATTCATAAATACCTGAGACAGTTTACCCATTCCTATTGGTCAAGAGCCCGTCACGTGGGTGGTTTTAAACCGCTGATAAAACACCAGCTGGTTTAAACACAATTCCTGCGTTTTGTGCCACCATTGCACAGTACGCGCCGCGCACGCCAATTTCCGTATAAGGAGATTTTTAGCACTATGCGTGCCAGGCATATACCAAACACATGGCCAGATGGGTGTTTCACAAAAAATTGTGCATTTTTAACTTGTTTTGACTTTTTGACTGAATGGTATTTATGAATGGGAATAAATATGTGCTTGGCCAGTTTGCCTGAATGCGGGTAATGATCCTCGCCTTCGGCTAGGGCCATAATCCATGTCCAGGCCCCCAGCTGGTTTTACATATTTATTCCCTTATTAAGGTCTACAATACTAACTTGGTTTTACTTCGCTTAATTTTAAAATTGCGTTAACTTCAGTGTGCAAATGATAGTCATTCATAGATTGAAGAGCTTAATAAAATGTTAAAGGAGAATTGCTCATTGATGTCGATTGTAAAGTTAATTATAGATGTCGATGAGTTTCACAGTACAGTATTCCATTTTTTAACAGTCCTTATTTACAGCCCTTTGCATAATGTACGAGCTTTCTCTGCACAATGAAACAATGCACCACACAAAAGAACAATTTCCAAAAGATGGAGACTTTTCTGGATGTGATTTCTTTTAGTTTGTCGAAAGTCGCAGTTGCCAATGTTGTTTTGTTATACAGTATGTTTGCCTGAACTGCTCATCCTTAGAAATGCCCTCTGACGATTTCCCTCTAGTTCTTTTTTTTTCTTTTTTTAAATCAAATCAGCAACATTCTCCATTTCTTAACTAGTATTTTTGGAGGATATTTCAATTATTTTTTTGGGGGGAGGGGGGAAACCATGGGTGCCCTTTTTGCATAACGACGGTACACTATGAAATCTGAAGGAAATTTGGCATCAGATTACACTTTTGGGGGGGGGGGGCGGTGATTTGACGACGTCCAACTAAATGCTCCTGCCGTTTATGTTCAAATGAAGTATAATATGTTTTTTTACAAACGTTTTATCAGATGGAAATTATTTCCATGTGCACTATCCAAAAAAAAAGCATACGGAGCAGGAAATGTTGATGCGTTGAGGGCGCTATTTGAGATTAACGGTCTGGCGCGTGATGCGGCGTGCAAGTAATTTTGCGGTGCCGCATGCACACAGTGAGTGATGCTCTCTGCACAGGGCACCAAACCTATTTTGGGCTCCCAATCCAAGGGGAAAAAAAATTAAAATACTTTTCATTATCGCCAACCCGATCTGAAACCCCTTTGGCAGGAAAATGAATAAATGAAGAAAAAGAATAAATACCAAATTCAGGCGCAAGCAGGCTCTGTGATATTTGAAAAGCGGCGGTGGAAAATAAGATCCGATTTTACGCGAAGCACGGCGCATAGCAACCAATGCTTTCCTGGATAGTGTAAGGGTGTTGCCTCTCATCATGTCGGGGGTGTTGCCTCCCATCATGTCGGAGATCTATGGTTTACTCTTACTGTCACATCAAGGCTGCCACTAGTCTATGGAATAGCGCAGCGTCTATGACATGCGAGCAGATTCGGCGATTAATTATGCAAAACAAGATTGCGTCTTGACCCCTAGATTCTGCAGTGACCATTCAGCGGGCGCCTCCTCTCGGGTCTTCGGTAACCTGTTGCATTACAAAAACATGGCAGCCAATTGACAAAGCAACAGCTTAGGTCGAAATGACGTCACAATTTCTTCAGTCTACTCCGATTGGCTTGCGCGCGGGTCGCATACAATTTGCATGCACACACATTATATATCGGACATGTGCCGACGTGACAAAAAATATAAACATTTTGGTGTATGCTGTAGCGTTTAAAACAAAAGTAATTGTCTGGCAGCCAATTAATTCCAATTGTACAGTAATCATTCAATAACTAAACATGGGCCGATTTGCTTCGGTCGATGTCTCATTCAACAGTGATTAACTTTTGTATTGCTAAACAAAAAAGTACTTGAAGTAATCTATTCTGGGGATGAAGCTCAAAAATAGCATGGGGAACACACTTTTAATTCGCTAGCAATTCAAAATACTCCCATATGCTGTGTACAAAATTGAAAACGTATTCGCTAAGTCGGTAATTTTATCAGAAATCGTCAGCATCATTATGGTCTTGGAACCATAAAACTACGCGCATTGCAGCGATATTTTGCGTGCGTGATGGAGCCGGTCAGTAACCGGTATACCGTACGCAAAACAATTACCGACTTGGCACCAAGTCTCAGTATACCACAAAGAGGTTGAGGCGGCGAAGTCGCTTCACCCGCAACCTCGTCCCCAGTGCTTACTTTATTTCCCTTCCCTTCCCCAATCCCAGCTGGATCCGCCCGTGATGGGGTAGATTTTGATATCCTGAGTTCCGGTTATTATGACCAGGATTGTAGAAAATTTGGCGAGTAAAGTCGATTTCAACTGATGTTTTACGCCAACGTTTTTTTCAAGACAGTGAGCGCCATATAGGCCTGATGCATTTATACACGTACTTTTTCCGTTCTCTTTAATTATAAGGCCACAGATCGAGATACAGACGTATAGTGCACACGATATTTCTAAATTACTATGAAAACTCTACCATCTGGTCTTCCAGATTGCTGCTTCCCAACATATCGATACTTGAATCAGTACTGATAACGTGACTTTTAGCTTATAATATGCATGGTTTGATTGACGTGTTTTGTTACTCAGCAATTTGTACAGTTCGTGAACTTTTATCGTAATGATTTTTCGAGATAAAAAAATTAATATCAATTTAGTAGAGGCTATATAATGCTGTTTGGCTGTCGGCATTTCTTCATATAGTACCAGACATTAAGCGTTGGAACTACGATACAGTCCGGTTCATCCTCCCAGTCAGTCAGAGAGCCAAATGGCAGCATTTACATTCTTGGTATTAACACTGCTGGTCTGCAGCAGTAGCCCATGGGTGGACGCCAAAGATGCAATTCAGGGCTATTACCACGCCTGGTGGGCCATAATTCCCCTCCCGAAAACCACGGTTCAGAAGATGCTTCCAGCAGGTGAGTATACGAATCACCGTCATATGCACTCAGATTGATGACGCACAATCCTTAAAATACATGTAGCAGTAGTAGCCTCCCCCTCCCACCGCCTCGTAAAAAAGGTCGACCTCATCCCCAGCATTTCTGCATTCATTTGCCGGGGCAATTAGCGCAAAATTCTGCATGTTGTCATTAATGGAACACAAACCACATAAATTAATATTCATAAATACCTCAGACAGTTTAGCTATTCCTATTGGTCGAGAGCCCGTCACGTGGCCGGTCTTAAACGGATGATAAAGACATGGCTAGCTGGTCTTAAACACTTTTCCAGTGTCACAATAAAATGTGGACTCCTAAAAATCCAGTGCCTCTTACCGTTTCATTGGTTGAACGTTCACAATCCTCACGTAGGCATGCGCAACACTACAAGCGAGTCAGAATTTTATAATTCTAAATTCAAAACGCAACGCCCCAGGTGCGTTCTGCGTGACATCGCGCAGAACATGTTACGCGCGCATCAATCTCCATAAAAGGGTTGTTTACATCTTACTCGCCAGCTGAACACTCCATTATTTTGCTGGAGGGATGTTTCCAAAAGCATAAAGTGAACTTGTTGAACAAAATCGGGATTTTTTGAACGAATTATTTGATATTTTTTTACGGATAAGGTATTTATGAATGGGAATATATATGTGCTCGGTCGGTATTTATCACTCTGTTTAATACCGCTTAGAGTCTGGGTGCTGATAATTACCCTCGCCTCCGGCTCGGGTAATTATCAGCACCCAGACTCTAAGCGGTATTAAACGAGTGATAAAAACCTCCGGAGCACACATTTATTCCCTTAAGAAAAACCCATACTTTTAGTAAACAAGTACTGGACTTTTGCAAAAGATCATAGTGAAAGCAGTGATGTAGTGCCTTGATGCTGGGCCTTGGCCTTAAGGCTGCCTTAAGGCTGGATTCTGGGGCCTTGGCCTTGGCCTCGAGGCTTGAGGGCAAAAGCCTTGGCCTTGGCCTTGGCCTTGAGGGATCACAGCCTTGCAATTTTGAGTCAAGGCCCTTCAAGGCCCATAGATTTTTGCATTTTCCAGATAAATCTGTTCGAAATTTTGCTGTTACCATTTTAATCGTATTACCATGGAGGAGGGAAACCCCTTGTAGATTTGTGTGTTGGGCACACTTCCACTTTTATAGCATCACATGTTGTTACCATTGTAGTAGATTTGCTGCAAAAATATTCTGTACACTTGTGCAGGGTTAATGAGATGATCACTTAAATTGCATACAATTATGGAATAGATTGGTCATTCCACCGGGTTGGGGAACAAAGTGTGACATATGACCATATTAAGAAAAGCATGAATGCCTTGCTAGCAGTTGCTCTACATAATATTTGTTGTTGGGTGTTTCACGACTGCAGAAAGTTTGAAATCATTTCAATGTATTTTGCCAAAAATATGAGCAAAAAATGTAATTTTGGATGTAACATTGACACCGTGTCAGTGTTACGTCCAAATATGACATTTGTTATCTTTTTTTTTAAATTTCTTCGAAATATTACCCAAATTTACTTCGCGTAATTCTTACTATAGATGCAACACAATAAGAGAAGCTTTTGTTATGGTAGTCAGACATCAAATGGAGCAGAAATGATAGCTTGTTTGTGTGGATGTAACATTTACACGGTGTAAACCCCAAATGTCACACTTCCATTGAGTGATTTTTACACCGTTACATCCACACTTGAGGTATTGTTTCTGCCATATTTGAACCCTGACTATACCAAAACAAAAGCTTTTCTTGGTGCTTAGGTGTCCAGTTGTAAATATGCAATGTCAGTTTGGGTAACATTTTACATACACGTGTAAAATATGGCAAAAAAAGAATTTTTGGATGTAACATTGAAACAGTGTCAATTATGTTACATCCGAATTAATACATTTTTGCTCATATTTTTGTCAAAGTACTTTCAAATGATTTCAAACTTTCTCAAATATTGAAACACCCTAAGACGAATATTATGTTAAGCAATTGTTTAGAATGCATTGATATTTTTAATAATATAACCAAATATATGGATGTAACATGCACTGCTTCCCAACCCTTTGGAATGACCCAGATCTGATTGGTTGTACATGTCTCCCTGATAAGTGCTAAAGATTTGCATGTATCTGTTTTAGATAATGCTGATATTTCTTACCATGTTGGCCCAGCAAATAAACATTTCCCAAATCAGTTTCTTGGATCCCCCTTTTGTTACACTGTTGGAGAATTGTGCGTCAATATAGAAGTAAATCTTTATTTTGTTTTAGTTAAACCACATTGAAGACCTGCACTTACACTTTCATAGATCTAATGCAGTCATAAAACGGTGTATGCGAGCATGTTGATTGCAATTTAAGACATGTTGTTCTTCTTAATGGGCGATTCGTGATGATGAGTCATGTGACTATAATTAGTTCTATATCAGTGGTCATTTTATAAAACAGGGCCTTGGCCTTGGCCTTGGCCTTGAGGGTTAAGCCTTGGCCTTGGCCTCGAGGCTTGAAGGTCTAAGCCTTGGCCTTGGCCTTGGCCTTGAGGGTCAAAGCCTTGGCCTTGAAGGTTTAAGCCTTTGCTCCAACACTGAGTGAAAGGGAAATTTACGGTCAATCGAAAGAGTTTGTTGAGACGTTAAAAGATTCGTTAATTACGACAAGTGAGGCATTTGGTAAGTCACTTTATTTACTCCGTCATATAAAACACCAACCATAAGTTCTATCAGGAGCTTTAATACTGGGCCGGGAAGCAGATGCGACGTTTGACTTACTCAGCATGCAGCATCCCCATTAAGGTGGTTCAAAGACTGAAAGCAACTTGTCCTCGGCAGAGACTATACGCCACTGACTTACATACGTTACCAGGTACAAGTTATCTTTGACCGTAATGTTTGACGAAAGTATACGCCCTGTGATCCTACTATTAAATCTAAATAGGATATCAAGACAATACGTTGTAAGTTGGCTCACCACCTGCAACAAGCACCATTTGAAACATAACGTTACGCAACATACGTTGCCATCTTTAACTAATTTTGTTTGATATTCTCGCAAATGATTATCATTATGTTTTGTAATTTGCGAATCAACAGCGCCACCAAGCGTGACGGAGCCCCTGGTAGCCGGTTTTATGGATAAAAATGGCATCTTGTCGTGATACATGCGGTTTAAGTGATATAAAAGCCTTTATAGTCATAAAATCCATATAATCCACATTGCAAATATTCCTCCGAATTCATCCTGTATGCAGCACTTCAAATGCATCTTTCACATTCGTTTTAATTGTACTGATAACTATGATACGACAAAACAGATCAATGTAACGTAAGTTTTATGTACTCTATATACTGTAATTATTTTTTCAAGGGATCATATAATAAATGAAGAGCTAAATGTATTTTTCACAGATGTTTATTGTGAACCTGTTTAAATAGAGTTTCATGAAACCTTTGTTACTTTGATTATTTTTTCAAGGGATCAAAACAAAATGTGTCTAGCCCCCCCCCCCAAAAAAAAAATTCAATAAAAAAAATTGCATTAGCAACAAGAAGGGATGTGACGTACATGTGAACGGTATTCCCCTAAAGAAATAGTCATGACAAGGGTGCATTTGTAGTTAATATAGTGTGCTTGATTTTAGGATTTTATTGGCGCTCCCAATTGAAAATATGCACGAGCCCCCCCCCCCCCCCTGCATCAAAGTTTTGCTCTGAAATATGGAAATTCGCATGACCATATCAGTGATATTGTGAAAGAAATTCATAAACTAAGGCTGTGGGAGATAAATGGTACGCATTGTTCAGTATACTCCCACTTTAATGCACCTGGTCCATTCACACAATTGTTTTTTTGACTGACACTGGAAAATATTAATTGCCATGATCTGATAACCGTTATCGTAAAATTACTCCAGTGACCATTAGCAAGTGATTATAAAAGTCTTTAACTTCCAATCATTTCGTAATAGAACCTCATCCAAATCATGATCCTTGCGGGGGGTGATACCGCCTCCCCGTTCCAAAGGTGCCCCACCCACAAAATCAAAACGAGGTCAACATTGCACTGTTCATTTAACGTATAAATGAAACAATAACGGAAATGAAGGAGCCAACAATGCGTCCATGTCTGATGCATGATTGTGTATGCGTACATGATATGGGGGGGGGGGGGGCTGTCAGTCGCTAATTCAAAAAGCGGAGGTGGGGTGGAGGGGGAGCTGGACCTCAACTGACGCTTGTGGCGCTTTCTTTCCTTTTCCCATCTACTCATATTTCACAATTACTGCTCAGCTTCCTGGTGAGTGCTATAGAAAAAAACTCTAGCGATGCCCAAATGAATGTAAAATCGTGCTTGTTGAAATATTATTACCCTAGACTACGCCTAGGCCTATAATAATCATGCTTATATTTTTATTTTGTAGGTCGTTCGATGGCCTTGGCAGATGTTTCTCTCCCCGGCCTCGGAGCTGACCAACATCCCGTGGTTCTAGAGATTGGTACGGAACACAACGCAGGTCCCATCGGCATCCCAACATGGCTCCTCCCAACCTTCCCCGAATTCAAGCTAGACATCCCTTACCTGATTGCTAGTGCGCCCTCCAGCGACAGCGCAACCACAAACCTGAACTATAAGTCCATCATCTACACCGATTCCAGCATCCTGAATGCTGCTTCGCGGTTGCAGTACAACCTAAACGCTAGCAAGGCTGACATGAAGCAAACTGACAACAGTTACACCGTCAACTTCGATGGCCACACATTTACTGCCAACTTCGAGTCGTCCGGGAGCTACCAGTCCCCAGACAAATTTCCCAATTTCAGCACTTACAACCACATCATGTCACAGACGTGGTTTGGGTCCTACCAACGCGATAGGAAGACGTGTGCGGATCACCACTACCAGTTTGACACCATACAGGTCCGACCCGCAAGCATGACCGTGCAAGCTGCAAAGGGCGTTCTAGACGTCCATTTTCCAGAGGGTCAGATCAAAACACCTGATCTGACAAAGGCACTGGGTACCGTAGAGGTCTTGGCGCATTTTACCATCACTCAGCCCTATGACTGCCTTCCCAACTAGAAAAAAATATGCTCACGAACCTAAATTAGATTTTTGATTGCATGATCGTAAGAGTACGTGAAAACCTCATTAATACATGTAACTAACGAAACTTAACTGAAGCAAACAAGAAAACCAATTGCGGCGCGGAGAAACCCCCTCCCCCAAATTGGGGGGAAATAGAAACAATAGGTTACTCAAAAAGGGAAAAATCTAGAAACTTTTCCACAAGTTTTTCCATAAATTGCATATTCTAGAAGGGGGAGGGGTCACCATTTGACATCAGGTGTCTCTGTGCATTATAATCTGGTATGCATATAGTTATTTACATCATCATGCGCGCTTTGACGTCCATTATAATGGATGTTCCTCTTGTCCACGTTTTCAAGATTTTCAGAACTTCAACCTTTTTGGGGGGATGTTCAACACAAACATCTAGGGATGATCCATTGGCCAATCCACCAGTCATGAAGGATCGATAACGCCCGTTAAAAGGGAAAAGCGAGCCCTAAGCGAAACTTTCTTCACTGGCGGAAACAATCCCTTCCTAGACACCAAATCAAAACAAGATACTGATCACTAGTTGATACTGATCCTCCACCGTACTCAGTGGCGTATCCAGAGAGGGGGGGGGGGGGGGGGGGGGGGGGCACGTTGTCCCCCTGGCGGATTTTTTTGACAAATATTTTGTTCAACAATTATTTTAATATATGGTTAGAGATTTCTGACATCAATCCACAAAAGAAAACCCGCTCAAAAACAAACCATTACAATGCGCCGTGAAAATGGGTATTTTTGATTTTACGGAGGCCAATACGGGCGATTCACAATAGTGCGCCTCCAATAGTTTTCAACCCGTTGGCCAATCACAATGCGCGAAATCAGTCGACCTTTTCCAAACGCGCATTGGGTCGACAGATTTTGCGCATTGTGATTGGCCAACGCGTTGCAAACTCTTGGAGGCGCACTATTGTGAATCGCCCGTATTGTCCTGAGAAAAAAACATGTCTACATTTCGGCGCGGATGTGCTGTTGCCCCCCCCCCCCCCCCCGACATCGAAAGCTGGATACGCTACTGACCGTAGACAGCTCATAGTTATCAGAGAGGGATCATTTTATGAGCAATCGATAAATGTGGACATTTTTACACGCAATTCAGACTATTCACAATATATAGTTATAAGAACCAATACTTTTACATTACTTGATATTAACTTATTGGATTCTCCAACACCCTTCGAGTATCACAACGTGTTCAGATGTTCAGAATGGCAAAAGTCATGGTGACTAGCATTCATGTATACCAAATAATATAGGTTTTCCCGGCCAAGTTAGCAGATTTGGCGGCCAAATTGGCAACCAATCACTCATTTCCACACGAATTTGAATGCACATTGAGATCAACATTCAATTACCTAAAAACACCACTCAGTTTCCCATTAAAAGCATGCGATTTCACATTTATTCATGCTATTTAAAAAAAAAATAGGGCATTCAAAGTAAAATTGCACAAACGAGCATCCAAATTCGCTGGAGCTTTAAGCTGTGCAAGCTTGGTCATTCGAATTCACCATTTAAGCAAGCATATGTGAAAAGTAAGCAAAGTAATTCGAAATAGGTCCTTGTCGTTCCGTTGTTTGTTAGAATAGGGTGGAGTATTTTTGTTACAATTTGGAAATATAGATATAAAAACCTGTCTCCCACAAGACTCTGCCACTACTCTGACCACCATGCAAACTGTTAGATTGAAGCACTAGAAATATCAATGTGCCAGCACACGGGCGTTACATGAGAATTTCAAACGTAGACCGTGGTCATCATCGAAGTTTTCGATGGCAATGCCCAATACTATCTTGAACTTACAGACAATCTTGGCATAAACAGATCTACTGCCAGGTCAATTGTAGCCACGTATCTGAGACCTGGTAGACGGGAAACCCTGCCAAGAGGAGGGGCCAGAAACACACAAATGGACCACGACATGAAGCAGTAATAATCAAAAGGTGAAAGAAATGAAAAGCCTCGCACCATATACCTTCATTGACTTTCATTTTGAATGCAAAAAGCGCTAAATAGAATGTGCGGAAATGAAAACGAAAACAAGAATCTCATGCAAATAACCCTTAACCAAACCGACTGCTAAATTGAATGATCACTTCAACCGAATGACATACTTCAATTTAGGATGTGTAAAACATGAAAATGTAAGATCTTAAAACGAATCTGAACGCCTGAAATCTAATACGAACCACGGGAATGACAGCAGGGCGCTACTTCGCTTCAAATTGGCCATTATCAAGATGAATTCCAATGCTATTTTTGCGAAATTGGCCGGGAAAACCTATATGATGTACTAATTGTCAAAACAGTAAAATCGGTTGTTTTCATTTGTTGTTTTTTCGCCTCCTTTCCGTTTCTCTGCTATTTTCATGAACTTTTAAAAGTCATTGTGTGTGTGTGAAGTTTCCCGTTTTGAAGCTTATAGTCTTGGCATATACGCAGAGCCGTATATTCAGAGCAGAATCATAACATCTGCACACAAAATGCAAATGTATGCAGCCTGTATGTGTTACTCTGATACCTTAAAGGGAAATTACAACATTTGCAAGCATCGAAAAATAAAACTACCAAGTTTTTACGAAATACCTTACAGGATGTTGGTAAATGACAGTCCAAAGCATCCTGTAAAATTATGGCACCTGGTGTGAAGTCATTTTCAAGTAAATGGTGTTTTTGTATACATTTCCAACGGTGGTCGGCCGACCACCGTTGGAACAACCTAACTATTTTTCAACTACTGCTCAAAATGTATCATTTTTTCTTCAGTCCAAATTTTGTTTCCTATTGGTTGCATGTTCATGAATGGGGGCATGCCAGCTAGACTGGTTCCCTTACCGTACAATTTTTCGGCATCTATAAATTGATCCATTTAATTTTCAGTGGAGTCAGGGAACCAGACTACTTGAACATTTTTGTTTTTCTTGGTTTTTCCAGCATTTCCGAACACAAAACTTCAAACATGTCAGTGCGACAATAATTTGATCTATTATACTAACCCCTCAAATAGTTCATTTCTGAAAATTAAGCAAAAGCCAATGATGTACATTCCCTTTAAGTGCGCAAGTGCGTTTTAAAAACAGTCCTTGTACCGGTAATCAACTTAAAGGGAAAATACAACATTTGCAAACATCAAAAAATAAAACTACTAAATCATTTTGAAATACCTTGCTGGACTGTTAGTGAATGACAGTGAATGACAGTGTTAGTGAATGTAAAGCATCCTGTAAAATCATGGCACCTGGTGTACTGTCATTGTCAAGAAAAGTGGTATTTTTGTATCAATTGCCAACGCTGATCGGCCGATCAGCGTTGGAAAAAAACTGGCTTTTTTCAAATACTGGCCCCAATTGACCATCGCACTTGTTTGCAATCGATTACAAACCTATGAACGGGTACAAGCCAGCTAGACTGGTTCCCTGACCTTACAATTCCCCAATGTATGTAAACTGCTCTGTTTCTTCTTATATGGAGTCAGGGAACCAGACTACAGGAAAATGATTGTTTTTCTTGGTCTTTATAGCATTTTCGAACCCAAAACCTCAAAAAAGTCAGTGTAACTATATTTGCTATATATTTCCAACCCCCCAATTCCATCCATTTCTGAAAATTACAGCAAAAGCAAATGATGTATATTCCCTTTAAAGATGTCACTTTTATCGCAAATCTATTTATGATGAATAATAGGTAGACACCCCCGTGCCAACCCGCCTAATCCAAATCGTGCGAATTCAAGATGTTTTTCATATTCATGCTATAAAAATATGAAAATATCGTAGATTGTGGATTTTTTTCCAACAAATGGCCCAAAGTTAATGTGGAAGAACTAATTGTTTTTGAATACGCTGTTTTCCCATGTAGCATTGTTTTCAGCGCTTGTTTTGACTGAGGTTTTTGTTTAAAGATGCATACCCCATGCTTTTCAAAAAAATAGATTGTTTTTCTCCTGACGAATTTTCAATGTGTAGGCCTATGTTTTGTTTTCACGGAAAAACTACTTCATTCCGATTTTGGGCGTCTGCAATGCACTAATAATATCGGAGTCTTATATAGCGCAAATCAGGTCCCAATGTAATAAGAACACCTGTCTGAAGCGGATTTTTTTTTCTCGAAATGAAACATGCGACCGGAATAAGAATAGCACTCTCAAACAGCGAGATATCGGAGGACCAACATTAATTTGATCCATCGAAAATCGAATATCCCACCAAAACCGCACGTTTTCAATGTTTAGCTTCGTGCACCTTAAGGCCTACATTCTCCTTTTTCATGATCTCTCCACTATTATATGTTCGTAAGTAACGCTAAAAAGGGCGAATTCCCAGCCGAGAGAGCTTGATATTTTGTCATTCATGTACAAAATCGAAAGCAAATGTGCAGGAAATTGTGTATAGCGCCACCAATGCTAACGATGAAAACGACAGAAATTCAACGAATAGTGTGCGTGTCGTGGTCAAGAAGAGCGGGCTATGTATAACTTGTGCTGTCACACGTGTACCTGACAAATAGTGCAGTGCATGGTGCATGGAATTAACATGACATCAGATGAACTCTTGTGTAAAATAAAGTCATTAATCATTGGCTTTGCTAAAAGAAGCCCAACACAATTGTACAATTCTTGATCGGGAGTGAACACGATATTGTATCCTCTTTTGCAAATATATTGAGCATTGGAAGTGATCAATGATAGGCCTACAACTCGCGCACCATTGCTCATTATATTGGTTTTTTCATTGTGTGCACGTTTAGTAGATTGTCAAAAGCTTTAAAAACACAGACAAGGCGGAATTTGACTGTGCACTTGTTGCATTCATTGTCACTCTTTTCTTTGGGTCACGTTTCAACCCCGTTTCAATTTCTTTCGTCTTTGAAAATATAAATTGGCCGCACAGAAACGTTTTGCCCTTGCAGTACACAGACAGCCTGATTGAAATTGAGTCAACATGGATATGATGAATGTTCATGGACTCTTAAGATATCTTAAAACTCGTGTGGCCTACAAGTATTCTTGTATCTTAATACAGTTTCATGAAGAAGCTACTAGTTTTCAATTAAAGCTTACACTGCTTACACACACACACACAAATCCTCGGCCTATAATTCTCCATTTTTTGGTCTGACAAAAAAGGACAACGTGGTAAAACTAAGATCGACGAGACCTTGATCAAACTGTGGTAGCTTGAATTGTGGTGGTATTGTTGATGGATTTAGTAGCAAATAAATATTATGCAAATGAACAAGTTAACTGTTATCCCTAATCAAGTTTTCAGTCCATTTTAAAGGGGTCATGCAATGTTTTTTTTAGGAACACATTTTGTGCAACTTTTTACTCCTCTTAAATGTATAAAAAACTATTTGACATCCCTTTTAGATTAATTCTATTGAAAAGTGCACTTCTTAAATATTTTCCGTGTTTTTTAAGACAACTGAGGGCGCTGTTGCTGTGATGCCATTTCAGGAAGACACTGTTGAGTTTAGGGATTTTCTGTTAAAATTGTAAACCCAAAAATTTGCTTATTCAAAACATCTGTGAGAAAACTTTACTCATTG